CCGCCGCCACTGTGCTCACCAGCTGTGAGCCCAGCTTCTGGCTGAGTGGCACTCCTCCTATGGGAGCGCATTGACCTCTGGTGGTCAATGCATGACATAGTGACCAGTTGTTCTGCCATGGGGCCAGAATTGGCTCTCCAACATCCCCTGAGGTGTCCTGAATTGCGAGAGGGCCAGGCCAAGGGACCCCACCAGTGCACGATCGGGGCGGGGAGGGACGCGGAAGGTTGGCCAGCTGAGGAGGGCTCCAGGGCATCTCCAGCCCATCTCATTCAGTCCTGATCTGCCAGACCCTAGCAGCAAGCTCACCTACTGGTCGGAGTGTCTGCCCTCTGGTGCTCAGTGCATGTCATAGCCCAGAGTTGAGTGGCTTTAGCATATCATTAGCATATTATGTTTTGATTGGTTGAACGGCCAACTGGACAAGTGGACACTTAGCCTCTTAGGCTTTTATTATATAGGATCATCTTAAGAGAGAATCCGTCAGCTTTGCAGCAGGCTGCCTACAGGCCTGTGGCTCACACAGAATCTCAGGAATCCCTATTTTCCGTGACTGTGGAGAGTTACAGAGAGGCTTTGAACAATAACTCAGGATGTTACGTGTTTGTTGGAGACTGGGGCACGTGGCTGAGGCTTACTCTGGGGATGGCCCATTGCTGTGCAGAAATGATCGGCTCTGGAAAAAGGAATCCAGATCTGGTAGCAGCCAAGTGATTTTTCACAGGTTGCTCACCTGCCCCAGCACTGTTTCCCTTCTGAGCAATAAATACCCCCCGTGTTACACCTGCCATGAGGTCAGATGACACAACTTATGGGCAAATGCTCTGTAACTGTGACTCACTCTGTATTATTACTATTACATTGGTCACAGTAAGGTAAATGTAACATATTTAGAACATAAATATTGGCATATTTACTATGATAAGGAAAATATTTCATGTGCCTTCCTCATATTAACACAATATATTTTTAACAACCCACAGGTGAAGTTTACCCAAAGAAGGCACCCATAAATTCTCTAAGCTTTTTCCCCTCCCTGTTCAAGCTGAAGTCCTGCAAGTTAGTGTTGTCCACTGGCCTCTACTGCTCATAGCTCTCCTCAGCTCAGCCGACTGGTTCCACTAAGACTTCGTTTTCATGAACTTCCCCCTGGATGCTGCGGGGCACATGCCGAAGCCGCTGTGGGGGGAGCGAAGGGTCCGTGCCCCTCGCCCCCCTGTGGGGACAAACAGCACAGAGAGGGAGCGAGCCCACGTCCACTGCTGAACAGAGGAGCCTACGGACACTGGAGACGGCAGCCATTTCAATAAGCCCTGCGATCAGACGTTTTAAATACTCCACGCTTAGAGCTTGTAGCTGACAAGGCCTTTTTGAATTATATTACGTTACAAACATTTCATTTTTCAAAGTCCACGCAGAAGCCAGCAAGCTCAAGGGGCCTGTTAGTCAGGAAAGGCAGTTCTGTGGATCCCAGCTCCTGGTCGGAGCCCACGGAGACCACATCTGGATGCATGCAATCCGGTCACGTGTGTGTCCAATGTTCCCGCCCCGCCTGCAGCGGGCACCCACTCCAGCCCGTTCTCTCTCCCCGGGGCCGGCACAGGCCTGGCCGTGGCCTGAGCTCCCTCCTCCACACAGGCAAGGGGCCAATGTGTTCAGAGCCCAGGTGGGCACGCAAGCATGAGTTATTTGTGAAAAAATACAGCATGCTAACTTCAATTAGTTTACACGGAAGGATGAGATAATGCGAACATTAAATGCAAAGAACATTTAAACACTAAATGCAAAATGGTAGGGCTGGAAGGGATCCGTGGAGGCATCTAGGCTGGAGGGCTGCTTACCTGGGGTTTAGCATTTAGTACTTTTTAAATCAAACCTAACAGTAAGGGGATATTTGTAGTTGGTCCCAGAGACACTATGTGAACTACTTAACAGGCATCAGCCCCTGGCATTCCGTAAGGATGCTGTGAGGTCAGTACCGTTAACACAACCACGTGTCGGACTGTGAAACTGAAGCTTAGAAAAGCGAATAAACATGCTCAGGTTTGCAGAAATACAAAGTGCAGCCGGGACTCAAACTTGGGCCCTCCCTCCAGGGCCCCAGTTCTCATCCGGGACTTCCGTCTTCAGCGTGCCTGCCAGTCACCCAGACGTCTGGTTAGGACTCAGACCACCCCCACTGCCCCCCAGAAATGCTGAGGGGACTGATCTGGGAGGGTCCTGGATGGGCCTTTCTCACAGGCTTCAGCCAACGCTGCTGCCGGTCCTACAGGCTTTCCAGGGCCCCTGAAAATGCTCAGTTTTGTCATTTTCCAGGGAAACGCCTTCACCAGATACAGGACTCCGTAAGGTGAAGGACCACTGGCCTGGTAGGAGGTTTCCCTGAAACTGAGGACCCGAGAGGAGGGCCTCATGGGGAGGACCTCGGTCTGGCCGAGCGAAGCCCATGCCCTGGTCCCTCCATGCTGGCCTAAGCCCACATCGCAAACCAGTTCCACAACCATGGCCCACAGGCTGGCAGCCGGTTTTGTAAATAAAGTTTTATTGAAACTAGGACTGGAATGGGGTTGGGGCAGTGATCTCCCATCTTTTTCATCTCCTGGCACACACAAACTAACTGCTAAAATTCTGCAGCCCACCAAAAAATGTATTTTTACCAATCTGACAAAAAAATAGGGATAATTTTGGTTCATTCACACAGGACGGCCATGGTTGTGTTGGCTCTTTTCATCTTTTTATTTGACAAACTAAGGGAAAGGAAGTCAGAGCCCCTGACTAATTCGTCAGGCATTGCATGTTTTAAAATTTCTCCTAGCACACGGGTTGAAAATAACTGGGTTAGAGCGAGTAAGTCAGAGTGAATTCCTGTCTTTATTTAAAATCCTGATAGGATGTTCATGAATTGCTTTAATTGACTTTGCCTTCAAAAAATATTCCATTCAAATATCATGTGTCTTAATTACCGCGTTTTTTGCAGCCCTTTAAATTTTGCACCTAGATGAATGCCTCTCTTGCCTCACCCTAGCCCTAGCCCTAGAACTTTCTGCCAGTGCCCCAAATGCACAGGAACAAATACCTATTTCTCAAGATGCTCAAAAGTCCCGCAAGCAGGGCCTGAGTGTGGCTCGCCAGCTGGAAGGTGAGCGGTGTGTGTCTGGGCTCTGGTTCTAGGGTCTCGCTAGATCCAAGAGGGGTTCTGTGATCTGACACAGCCAGATACACAAGGACAGTAAAAATCACCATTTCCCTCTTCTTCCCTCTCCGGGCCTATGAAACTCTAAAAGGCGGGATTTAAAGCCGCACAGATTCCTAGGCCAGGCTTGTGTGCATCTGCCCAAGCTCCCAGCAGGAAAAACCAAGCACCAGGGGCGGGGCGCGGGGCACCGGCCTTACCTTGAAAGAGCATCGTCTGGCTGAAGTCGCTGCGCATGTCGTTGCGGCACACGGCCTGGACGCGGAACAGGTAAAGGCTGTCAGGTGAGACGTGGCTGATGGTGGCTTTCTGTAGGCGAAGGAAGAAGAGCAGTGAGCAGGTGCAGAGGCCAGCACACAACATACACCCACCTTCTAAGCCAGTGACGGCGAACCTTCTGAGCTCGGCGTATCAGCATTTTGAAAAACCCTAACTTAACTCTGGTGCCGTGTCACATATAGAATTTTTTTGATATTTGCAACCATAGTAAAACAAAGACTTATATTGTTGACACTTATTTTATATATTTAAATGCCATTTAACAAAGAAAAATCAACCAAAAAAATGAGTTCGCGTGTCACCTCTGACATGCATGTCATAGGTTCGCCATCACTGTTCTAAGCCAAACCTAAAGTAATGTTAAGAACCACGTTCAGGTTTGTGTTGCCACGGCAACACCTGCTGGACACGATGCTCCCATGGACCAAAGGCTCCCTCTGGAAGGGAAGAGTGGTCAGAGAGAACCTGGCCTGGGAATCTGCTTCCAACACTGAAATGTGCAGGATAAGACGGAACCAAATCAGTCTGGACTCCCCGAGGCTTAACTGAGGCTCGACTGTGTCTTAGGCCGCTTTTATACTCACGAGTCTTGGACTCCTTCCATCACTAATATCCCTTATAGACTGCCATTATTTACCCGAGACGGCCTCTCGAATCACCAAGTGGACTGCTTTCCAGAGCCAGGCAGAGTTTAAACATCTGCAACAAGATGTCTGCATGTCTGTCCTTGCAGTGTTACGGTCTTGCCATACATTCTCCATGGGTACTACAGGGCAAGATGCCAGGAAGGACACCTGGCTAACGGTCAGGAAAGGTGAGATGCAGCCTTTTCACCCACTCACAGGCTGATCCTGGGCCAGGGGCTCGGTCTTTGACCTCTGCTGCCCTCCCGTGTAAATGGGAGAGAAACAGCGACCCCACAGGGTCCTTGTGAAAGCAAGGTGACACAGGCCAGGGAAACCTGTTCATACGTAGCCCACACCACACGACACCACAGAAAGAATGGCCCTGGTCTATCACAGGGCCAGCCAGCTCCAGCTCACAGGCCAAATCTGGCCCCCTGTCTATTTTTGTCAATAAAGTTTTATTGGCACACAGCCACGCCCATTCCTTTACATGTACCTACAGTGGTATCTATAATGGCAGGGTTGAGTTGTTGCCACAGCCACCTTATGTCCCATAAACCCTAAAACCTTTACAACCTGGCTCTTTCTAGAAAATATTTGCCAATCCCTAGTCATTAGACACCTGCCAAATCCAGGTCCCCATTCCTCAGAGCTTTATTCCCAGGGCCTTTAAAAAATGAGAAAAGAGAAAGTACCTGAAAAGCAGACAGTGCTTGCTTTGTGAAGAAACAAACAAAAAAAGCCACTGAGTCCAAAGACTTCCCTAAAGGATGAATGTCTTGCCACTGAAATGTGGGTTCTGGGCTGAGTATCAAAAGCATCCTTGGAACTTAACCGCTGGGCGGATGTCCCATTGCAGGCACCTAAACCTCTGACGGGGCGTTAAGTGGTACCGTGGCCACACCTGCTGCTGCGGCCTAGCCCCCGGCTCCTGTGAGGGCAGCAGGTGACGTCCCCTTAGTGAACTGTAAGCCTCATGTATCTGTTTCGGAGAAGGTAAATGGTAGGAGGATGGGGAAGAGGCACGTGACCTAGAAAAGACCGCCCTGACCTTATATATTCTTCTGAGGCTTCCAGGCCACAGCAACCATCAGTTGGAGAATAGTTTTGTTGCTGCTAAGTCAGCACATTTGGCTTCCCAAGAAATTAAGAAAATTAATCTTGTGCGTCCCAAAAGAAACTAGCCACCCCTGGAAATTCTCAGGAAAAAAAAAAAAAGACCTTGCCATTAGAGCATACTTTTCTCTGCATCGCTCTCTTTCTCTGAACCCAATTCACGCCCCTTCCTCCAAACCTCTGACCCCGTCTCCTGTTCAGGGCAAAGTCCCCGCTCCCAGCGGGATTTACTGGATTCACGCCAAGCCAGTATCCATTCATCTTCGCGTGTTTAATTCTTTTTCACTTAGAACAAGACCCGCCTAGGCGCCTACGCGGCTTCTGCTGATTAATGCAGTCATCTTTACTTCAGAGGGAAAACCCCTCGTGGGTTCCCAGCGGCGACAAGAGGAAGGTCAAAACACATCACAACCTCGGGGAACTTCCGGCAGGTTCCGCTCTGATTTCAATGGGACCCAGATAACTATGTCTAGTGGGGAAATTGAAAATATAAGTGAAAAAGAAAAAAAAGAATCTTCATCTAAAGGAATACGCCAAGTTTTATTCTATCACTGATTGAATGGGCCCCGGGGACTCTGTGCTGGGAGGAAAAGTGGGAATGATCATTAAGAATCCCACTCTGTGCGACTGCATTTGCCACGTGCACACACAGGTACGGATTTCATTATTCCAAAGCCTGCCTTTGATTAACAACGAAAGCAGAGGCGCTCCAATCCAACTCTGTCACGTTGAGTTTCTCTGCAGAGACGTGAAGACTAGTGCCCGCTGGGGGCTTTGCTTTCACAGGGGGGGAAGAGTGGCGACAAACATCTGCTCGGAAGGGCTTGCTGGGGTGTTGGCCACTACACATTTATGCACATTTTACGGACAGTGTGGGACTGTACAGGAGCTCACAGCTTATAGACCGCTATGAGGTCAGATGCCAGAGTGTCTGAGAGACTGAGAACAGTGGCTAAACATTACATGGTCCCAGGGATCCCCCAGGTAGGAAGGTGAGGGGATCCGATGGGAAAGGGAGTGCGGGCAGTGGGCAGCTGCATGGTGGCGGTGACAGTGGGAAAGAGCAAGAGGAGGAATAGCTGCAGCAATACCAGTGGGTCCTTACACACTGCGTCCCTGGGCCAGAGTCTGCTGCACATGCACACAGCATCTCACATCCACAAAACCCTGTCAGATGGAAAGGCCTTAACAGAGCTTTCTGTTTCTATAGAATGAAAGACAGAGGAGTCCGTTTAAAGGGCCCAATTATAAAAAAAGGAACTAGCTTTTCCGGGTGGTGTTGGCGGGTGAGTGTGAGGGCGGATGGGGCCCAGGCAGGCTCGGCCACGGTCCACACCGGGAGCCACTGCCCTGCGGCAGCGTGAGGCCGGGGCCTGCCTGCAGTGCCTGGTAGAGATGCGGCGGGAGTCCCTCTCCTCACTGCAAGGGCAGCAGGCACCCCGACTTTTACCAGGTCTTTGTCGCTGTCCTTCGTGAAGGTCTTCTCCTTCTCGTCCTCGTTCTTGGTCCAGCTGTAGGAGATCATGTAGTTCATGATGGGCGGGTGGTAGATGGTCTCAGGCCGGCTCCAGGACACCTGCAGCGCCGTCTGGTTCAGGGGCTGCACCTTCATGTGGATGGGCGGCGAGCTGCAGACTGAAGGCAGACACAGACTCAGTGGGCTCCCGGACACCACACCCCGCACTGGCCCGCCTGTGTGCCCAGGGCCCAGCCCGGAAACCCGACAGAGCAGCACACAACACCCCACCCCGTCACCTGAACCTGCCCTCAACATTTTGCCACATCTCTCCTCCCTCTTTCTTTCTTTTTTTAAAATTATTATTATTTTAAAATCTTCACCTGAGGATATTTTGCCATTGATTTTTTGTAGAGAGAGAGAAAGACAGAAACATCAATGTGAGAGAAACGCATTGATTGGTTGCCTCCTGCACGAGCCCTGACCAGGGTCTGGACTGGGGAGGAGCCCGCAACAGAGCCCGCAACAAGATCAGGGAGAGAGAGAGAGAGAGAGAGAGAGAGAGAGAGAGAGAGAGAGAAACATCTATGTGAGAGAGAAACATTGATAGGTTGCCTGGACTGAACCTACCACCTAGGTATATGCTCTGACCAGGAGTCAAACCCGCAAGCTTCCGGGGTATGGGACGATCCTCCGACCCACGGAGCCACCGGCCAGGGCAGCTTTAGCCTCTTTAAATCTAGCATAGTCACCTGACCTTTTTCCCTTGATGACTATTTTGTAGAAACCAGGCCATTGGCCCTGTGGGGTACCCCAACCAACTAAAATTGTAGATCAAACATCACTGTAAGCAGATCAGAGGAAAGAAATTTAAAATGAGAAGTTAAATAAGTTTAAAGCGTGTACACACACACACACACACACACACACGGGCTGGCCCAGCGGGACCTCATGGAATAGTTCCCCGACATGGGCACAGGAAAGCCAGGCTCACCCGCCTTCCTCTTCCTTGTGGCGCAGGTTTGAAGGGACACAGGTTCTATGTCCACCTACCAAAGGGCTGAGCTATCAAGTCAGCCTTTAATAGCGACGTTTTAGTTCCAAGTGTGCGCTTTCCCAGCCCCTGGGGTTCCTGCCACCATTGGGCTCAGAGTCGGGGCTGCGTCTCTCAACCTTGGGACTATTGATATTTGGGCCAGATATTGTTTGCTCTTGGGGGGCTGACACTGTAGGGTGTTTAGCAGTATCCTTGGCCTCCACTCATTAGATGCCTTTAGCACCCCCCACAAATTATAACAATCAATAATGCCCCCAGTAATGCCAAATGTCCCCGGGGCAGGGGGTGGGGGTGGGCAATTACCCCCGGCTGAGAACCAGCGGTCTAAATGGGGAGATGGGAGTTCCCCAAAGGATCCCACCCATGGAGCTGATATTTCTGCCTGGATGGGAGGAGAGGCACTCAGTGCTGTCCAAGCCCAGCATGGAGGCTTGGACCCAGCTATGGGCTTGGGGAAGGCTGCGGAAGGCACCCTGGGAGCTGAGTCAGGGGGAGAGAGGAGGGCAGGCCCAGGGACCATGGGAGGGAGGGGCCTGGGGGCTGAGGGAAGCCAGGCCTGGGCCAAGGCTCAGAGAAAGAGGTGGGAGGAAACTGGGCAGCTCAGTGGGAGCCGCAGAGGCCCAGCTGAAACATCCGGTCTTCATCCCAAGAGCACCCAGAAGCCACGGGGAAGATGTGAACAGAGAAGGAGACAGGTGGGTTTGCACTTTGCAGAGATCCCTCGAGCTTCAGCTGAGCCAGAACCTGGGGGACTGGAGTGAGGAGGGAGCCGGGGAGCAGGTGCGGCCGGCTGCTCACTGCTGGAGACCAGGGAGGGGAGGGGGGGGATGAAGAACTGCGGTTCTAGAACGAACGGTTAGAGTGAGGATGGCACTGGGGCGGGAGGGGTGGTTGAGGGGAGGAGGTAAGCCAGTGGGACGTGACGTGGCTGTGGTGTCTCCCAGGAGCCCACCATAGCCAGCTTCCCCAGGAACTACGAGCCCCAGGCCGCCCCAGGGAGCAGGACGGTGTCCCCGCCAGAGGCACCGGCCCACTGTGAGGAGCTGGCCGCTGGAGAAAAGAGGACATCGGTTCTGACAGGGAGGCATCCGCTCGCTCTTCAACTGCCAAATCACGCTGCAGCCGAGAGCTCTGCTTTGTGGCTGCGACAGGAGGAAGGATAAATTAATGAGGCATCCCCACTGCCCCAGAGAACCCTGGGGGCATCGCGCCGCCTGCCACACAAATGCCACCAGAGCAGGGACATCAAACAAAGTGTGAGCGAAGGCTCCACAGAGACGAGGCTGAGTGGCAGCGTGGACACTAGGTGGCACTGACATACCGTTCAAATACCCCAACCTTCAAGTTTCTCAGGAAGGCAGAGCAGGGAAAGTGAGGTAAAGACCTGCACATGCCAATAATGAACCAAGACTGATAGACTGGGAGCTCGGTTCTCTGCAGTGACGACCATGTCAGACTCCCTGACTTCTGCATCTTCTCTCAGCTCCTGCCATAGTCCCATTCCCCCCCTTATGCTGACCGGCAGTGGGCTGCATGGGATGCACGTAGCTCTCATGGTGACATCATCACCACATAAATAATTCTATCACCCACACGCAGGTGCAACCACTGTTATTTATTCTTTAAAATTAAAATAGCTGGGTTCTCTTTGCTGATTAAGATGGTTCATGTTAATGTTTTTAAAAAGAAACCCAAGTAGTACAAAAAAAGTAAGAAGAAAGTTTTTTTTTAAATCACCCCAATTCCAGTGCCCAGAGATGAGTATCGTGAGCTAGCTGGGGAGTCGGCGTCCAGGTATCTCTTCCTTCCCGCGGAAAAGCAGACACACGATCTGATGTAAAGGGAGATGATGCATTACAGCATCGCAGCTGGAGTTTTACTGCTGCTGTGGGCTCTGCTAAGTCATGCAGATGCCTCCTGGTCGGCGAACGGAGCCCGGTATCCCTGCTCGGAATGAAGAGACTGAACCCCACCGCCTCAATGTACCAGAGGGTACTGCACTGAGCCCACAAAGGAGGCACGTCTGTTCTCCCTCTGACGGGACCACCCACCAGGGCAGGAACTCAGCTCCCCATTGGCCTCCACAGGCCACTTCTGAGCTGCAGGCCGGGGGTGCAGGTCGGGGAGTGGCATCCAGATGTAAGGGGCGGGCAGGTGGAACAGACATTTCCCTTCTGCTGTCTGTCTCCCTCCACCACCTCGCTGAGGGGGAGGAGCCCTGTGGCCAGACCCGGAGGGGGCGTTTGCAGAGCACTGGGAGGACTCAGAGCAGGGCTGGCCAAGTTGTTTGGCCAAGAGCCGGCAGTAAATATTTTCGTTTTGCGGGCCATACAGTCTCCGTACATCACAAACTGTGCCTTCGAAGCACAGAGCAGCCCAGGCGCCACGCATGGGGACAAGTGTGACTGTGCGCCCATCAAACTTCTCTCATGGACGCTGCATGTCAATTTCACATCCTGGTCACGTGTGAGTAAGTCTTCCACTGCCTGTGATTTTTCAACCGTTTGAAACATAAAAACCATTCCCAGCTTATGGCCATACAAACGGTGGTGGTGGGTGAGTCTGGGTTTGCTGATCCCAGGCCTCGAAGGTACAGGGAGGCCACACCTTTGCTGACACGTGTGTCCTCAGCACTGACCTCTGTCCCCGGCACACCTGGCAGCCTCTCTAAACACACCCCCTGCGAGGTGCTCCCTGCACCAGCCTCCCCTCCTCGGGCTGCTTCCACTCCCACTGGTGTCTGCCTGCTCCCACAGCCCTCGGACGATGCCCACGCCAGCCCCGAGAAGCTCTGCCTTCATTCTGAGCCACCTCTGACTGTGAACCTAGACTTGCCTGAATAGTGAAGAGGCTTCTAGCAGAGCCCACGGTCCTCTGGCTCTAAAGCAACGTCAAGGGTATTTCCTCAGTGGCTCCGCGAGTGCATGGGCGGTGCCCACCCCACCTCACCCCACCCCACCCCTCTTCATTTGGGGTGTAAGATACACCACGGTGATTCGTGGTGTGAAGTCGGTGTAATTTCCAAGTGCCTTAAACTATTGAGTTGAAGGTCCTCCCAGGCACCCTGCCTCCTCCTTTTCTCTCCTGAGGCAACAGGCCAATTATTGGTCAGGAGTCCGAGACGTAGATAGCACAGCTCAAACACAGCTCAAACACAGCCGCGTAGTGCCACTACTCCACCAAGCTTGTCAGCAGAATGGAACTGGGGGTGGGGTGCGAGATCATACACCCCAAGTGTTGTCTGGCCAGCCTGGCCTGAGCCAGGGGAGGGGACCGGGCAGGGAGAGAGCTAGCACTGTCCCTTCTTAGGCCGAGGGGACCGT